ATATATATGTGTGTGTACAATATGTACAAATATGTGTGTGTGTACAATACACAGATGCCAACCATACAAAGATATAATATATTGGTATGACAGTAGTACTTGAACCCAAGTGACATGTTGTATTCAGTGTGATAATCAGGCGTTAAGGGAGAGGGGATGTTCGTCCCAGCAATCCTTCAAGGCTCCCATCACGAAACAGATGCTCACATGCTAATCTGGGCATAGCCGATGCGGCCAGGCTGACCGCTTCCAACAGTCAGCAGCATTAGCGTGATGTGGAAGGAGACGGTCACGAGGTGGAGGCGCCACCCATGGCGGTCATCCAGTCAAAAGCTTCGCTGCCTGCCGTGGGGAGCCACCAAGGTCGGTGATTGTGAACAATGCAGTACCAATGACCATGTTGTGCGGCAATGCCAGCAATCAAACATACCGTATTGTGCAGAACAGAAAGCATCCAAATTGAGAACAACTCACGAGTTGGCTTGAATCCATTTTCATATACCCTCTCCTCCAAGCTGTGCGCAGGTGGTGCAGTTGCTGGCACGCCCAGGCGTACATGACGGTGAGCGACTCGGCAACGTCATCATTACCTGGCGTGCGTGATCAGTCCAAGGTACCAGCCAGGTGGGATCAAGAGAGGACGGCAGGCCATGTGGTGTCGGCACTGACGTTGTGTGATGACTGTACACTAGTGTCAAGCACCAACAACGAGGTTTTCGCGTTGCAAGCGCCTGCTAGTACCCAAGCGCCTGCGCGACCCCTCTCAGCTGGACATGGACACTTGACACATATTGGTTGTTGCCTGTAAGCCTCACCTGCTGGGGCTCCTCTTCCTAACGTGCCTGATTGTCAAGGGTTGGGCAGCGTAGGAGGTGGCCAGGTGGAGAAATGGCGGGAGAAACACAGCAGCAATGGCCAATTGGTGCAACCAAGCCGGACGCAACCTGCCCTGACCTGCACTCGGTTGTCAGCAACGCGCGAGTGGAACAGTAGGAACACCATGCCACACCCCTTGCAAGATGCGCGCGCGTCAATAATCACCATTCCCCTCCACGCAACACCACTGCTTCAGCACAGTCATGTGGAACGCCTAACCTGCTGCTGCTGCTGCTGCTGCTGCTGCTGCTGCTGCTGCTGCTGCTGCTGCTGCTGCTGCTGCCGCTTGTCCTCCTGCAAGTGACCAGCACATTGAATAAGGTGATTGACACGAAGGACGAACGGCAGCAAGCGTGCAGGGGAAGGGAAAACCAGCAGCCGTTAAGGGCGTAGCATGGGCGAAAAAGCAGAGCGGGGCGGAAGATTGATTGGTTGCATTGAATAATCCATTCAAGATGTGCAGAGGAGGTCCATGCAAAGCGGAGCTGCAAAAGCAGCGGTGCCAGTATCATGTGGCCTAGTAGTAGCTGGCATATCACAATACATGCGGGACTGCTGCTGCTTTGGGCCTTAACCACAACACAATGATGCAAGTTGCGCATGACCACTGCGAGCGCCCTTGCAAGAGCGTGCACGACTCACCCTCTGCTGCTGCAGGGCAATGGAGGAAGCCCAAACAGGAGCCGTGGAGGGTGCAGAGGGAGGGTACTGAATGTTGTAGGCAAGCAAGACAACAAGCACTCCGCAAGAACCGCAGCATTTAAATGCAGCTGCAGGCCGCACGCCCCACTTGCTCAGAACAGAAGGATTGGCCCAAGCAAGCGGCACACATGGGGTAGTGAGTCCAAAGGGGGTGCACCTTAGAAAATGCAGACAGATTTTTTGAATCAACATGCCCGGCGTCGCGTACGCTAGGGTGTGCTGGGTGCATGACGGTAATTTGCAGAGGAACCCCCCGCCCACCTGACAGGGCGGACAACTGGTGCCGCTGCTCCTGCACTTGACGTTGCCGCCTCAACACCTCCTGCTGCAGCAGAGCAGTTGCCTTCTCCCGCAGCGCCGTTTTCTGCTTCACCAGCGCCACTCTCTCCCAATGCAGCGCTGTCAGCTGCTCCCAAACCCTCTCCTCTGCGGCTGCCCCCTGCAGCTGGCGGAGCTGGGCTTTGAGGCCTTGCTCCGTGCTTTTCAGCTCGGCCAGCTTGGCATTGATGGTGTCAATATCTCTCTCGACCATGATCTGCTGTCCAGTGCCGGTAATTTTTTCGCTTCGGAATTATGCTAGTCCTCGCGGGTTCCTCCTCCACAGCACCACAAGACCAGATCGTTCTTGTCCAAAGGCCGTCTGAACATGGAAAATCGACACGCGTTGATCATCACGTAAGGGAAGTACGATACCATACCGTACTGCGGGTCAACGTGATGCAGCCCGGTTAGTGGCGCTGGTCCTGGCGGTGGTGTCCTGCACACTGTGCGCGGTTTTGCGCGCCTCACGCCCAGGTGTTTTCAGCCGTACACGGTTGTGCAGCTGCACAGACAGCCATGCTATTGCGGCGGCGTATCCCCCTGGTGCCCCGTCCACCCGGAAGGGTATTCTTCCGACGGGGCGACGACGATGACAACAGGGCCGATGGATGGGGCAGTAGCAAGGACGGAGGGCTGGTGGTGGCGGACGCCGTTGGCAACGGCGACGACAGCGAGGACCTGGGCGCACGGGTGGGTGGGTTCTCGGGGGGCCTGGGCAGGGGAGAGGGGGGTGGGAGGCACGGACGCGTCGCAGCAGTGCGGTGCGCAGGTACATGCGCAGCACCCTCACGCTTGCGCGCCTTCCGCTTGCGTGCCCTCACACACACGCCAGCCCCCTCACACACACACACACCCTCACGCTCACGCTCATGCGCCCTCTTCGCCACGCACATTCGCAGCGCCCATCCCCTCCCAACACACACGCACACACACACCTGCACGTACACATACACATGCACATACACAAATACATGCACATACACATATACACACACACACACATGCACATGCACATGCACGTGCACATGCACATGCAATACAAACACACAAGTATCGATGGCATCGCGCCCGTGCCCGTGCCTGCGCCTGCGCCTGCAGTTGGACGGCCCAGGCCTGGTTGATTGCATGCTTACCTTCTGGAGCAAAAAGTCCGCCCTCGCGCCCCTCGTGTCATGGCCAGGGTCCAAGAAGGAACTGTATTATGCGCTGTGCACCAACCCCAAAACCCAGGTGCAACATTGGGGGCTGCCGCAATGGTTTTGATCCAGATCAGCTCACATAGATCTAGACGGACAGGCAAGGAGCCTGGGTGGCTCAGCGAGGGGGCGGCCGCCGCGAGCAGCGGCGGGAATCTGCATGATTCCTTGCGGGGGCCTTGCCCGATAATCCTGCCCTTCCTGTGCAAATCGGCCAGAACCTTGCTGCCCTCTCACCGCCTCCCTTCCGGAGGATGTCAAGCCGGACGTGACGGCGGGCCGCAAGGTGCAGGCAGAGCTCGTGACGCTCCCTGGATTGCAACTTTATTGCCTTCCTCAGGGCAGAACTGCCGCCACCAAACATGACCGTGCTCGCTCTCATGCGCCAGCCGCCGCCTGTCAAGGTATGTGCGCGGCGTGCAAGGGGCGGGGGGGCCCAGGTGAGAGAGGGGCTGGGGACTCCTACGCCCACTTTGAACATCTGTGCCGCACTCCATTGGCGGATGTATCAATCCACAAGGCCCGGCTACCTGGCCCGTGGCCGGCCCCAGCTTCAACTCAGGAGTACCGCAGCGTTCCACCTGGCTTATTGTGGCGCATGCACTCTGCCGCCGCGCCTGAACAGGCAACCCTTGGAACCTCAGGTCGCATTCGGCCACGCCGACGCGGCAACCCGGTGGCCCGCTGACTCTAAAGCAGACACCGCTGCTTAGAAGTCATGCAACGTCAAGCTTTAATGAGTGTAAATTGTTCAATATGGTACCTGCCGTGCATTTTATAGTTTTACAGTGTGAGTATCTCATACAGAGTCGCACTGCAAACTGATCGCCGGACTTGCGTCAGCAGTTGGTTATGGCATGTCTTGAAGCTTTGTAACACCCCCGCCTGCGCCCCAGCACCCGAAAAACCGAGAGACCCTTGACAGCCCATTGAAAGACCTGCCAGGACCTGCCATGTGATACATAATGGGCACTCCCCACCCTGCAGCCATATATTGATCATATTGCTCACCACGTTGTGCGGGGCCGGCGCGCACTTCCTCCTACAGTTGACTGTGAGCGGCTCCTGATGCCACCAAAGTCCATCCATCACACATGACACAATTCCTGGCGCCCCACACCTAAAAACGAACGGTTTCAAACTTGCTTGCTGTATGTCATTCATGCAGGTGTGCACACACAGCCTGTCCGTCACGGTCAAAGTAAGCTGGGTCATTTCTATGCAGCGGTTATCTACGCAGCTTGGAGTCCGCCGAGTTTTGTGTGCTTTACAAGACGAACTTGCACAAACACATGCACGATTATGCACACACGTGCTTGAGAGGTCAAAGGCGAGGAGCTGACACCAGCCACAGCACTGGCTGTGGATTCTCTTGAGGGATACAACCAAGCACACCGCAGTGTACGAACACTGCGTTGCTTGCGAACGAGTTTGTTGACGGATCAAGACCCCAAAGTTCATTATATTTCACTGATCAAAAATGACAAACCGGGGCACAGGCGGGTCCGTGCAGGTGGGGGCCCCCCACACTGGTGCAGGGCATGGCTAATGCTCTCCGCGCTGTCCCCGCCGCTCACATCACCACCACCGACACAGGCTGCCCTCACTCCTGCTCCTGCTTCTGCCGGTCCAACGCCTGAAACGACGCCTCCACCGCCGCGCTCGCCTCCATACCCACCCCCGTCGTCGCGCGCGGCGCACTGGCCGCCGCCGCCGACGCGGCGCCCTTGATCGGGCCGCCCTCCTCCTCTTCGCTGCCCAGCGCCTCGGCCACCTCTGGGTCGAGGCGCGGCACGTACACCTGCAGGCTGGCCGGCTGAACGCGCGCCGTCAACGGAGTCGTGCCGAGCAGCTCCCCGTCGACCACCACCTGAGGGGCGTGTGCATGTGCGTGTGTGTTATATGTGTTGGCGCGAGGAGGAGGGGTTATGGAGCACAATAATGGGTGACGGGAGCGGGGGCCGCTCGAGGCGACATGGCCGACAGCAAACATGTTCGCCCGGCAGGTCACGGCGCATGGCCCAGGCAGGTTGCCGCGCGAGCAGAGCTTCAGACACGATTGGCGCGGCCAGGCCGGCCGGCCGGAAAACAAAAGCGACGAGCACTACCTGCTGCTTGAGCTGAACGCCCGGCCGAGCACGGCCCGCAGTGTGCAAGCACGAGTCTCAGCGGCAGGCCCACCTTCTGTGGTGGGTCAGTCTCAACAATGATCTCCTTGGCCCGGCCCCCAAACACTCTCTCCTCGTCTTGCACGGGCGCGCTGCCGTCGCCGTCCCCGTCGCCCATCATCACGCGCACCGCCAGCCGCGTCATGCCCATGAAGTTCTCCAGGGTACTGTCGCTGGCCACGTAGCCGACGACCTCCAGGAGCCCATCTGCGTGTAGAATGAAGCGTGGCCGGCCGTCAGTTTGCGCGGTCCGTGGCCAGCCGCGCGGAAGGCGGGCACAGAGTAACAGAGCAAAGTGTGCGGGGCGAACGCAGGCGTCGCCGCCGCAAGGGCAGGCAGCCGGGGTTTTGGTTGTTGTGCGATTGGCGATCTGGCGCTCGAGATTGCGAGGCCTGCAGTGTGCAAGGTCCCCGCACGAGCTTGCATCCACCCCGCCGCACGGCGCCCTGGCGCGTCGGTCCTTGCTCCTGCCCCCTTGGCCCTCAGAGCCCGCCGCACCCACCATCAGGGATGCAGTCCCCGACGTGGCCGTGGGCCAGCACAGACGTGGGTGGCGCGGAGTTGGCGATGGTGAGGGCGCCGATCTCTCCCTCATGAACCTCCCCGTCAACAGTGATCTGTGGTTTGGGGGGCAGATGATGTGCACAGGTGAGTGGTTGTGACTCAACTAACAGGGCTTCAGCATGCCAGCAAGGGCACGAAGGGTGCGTTGTGATGGAAGGCGGGGCGTAAGGCGGGCAGGCATTTCCGCCTCGCGGTGTGCGCGACCAACCGACGTCAGCGCGGCGCCGCCGCCGGGGGCGCGCTCGCCTTGGCGTGGAAGTTGCCGCCGCCCTTGAGCAGGGTTGCGCCGCCGGATATGATGTAGGCGGCAACGCCAAGCATGTCCTTCATGGAGCGGTCGGCACCCTCCACCACCTCTGCCTCGAAGCCCACGCCGGTCAGCAGGATGCAGGGCACGTCGGTGGCCTGCGGGGGCAAGGGCAGGAGAGCAGGGCGGGAGGAAGGGGCCCAGATTGTGGGCGTGCCGATCCGACGATGCTTGCTGGACCGGCTGCTTCGTCAAGTAATTACTAAAACTGCCCTCTTTTCCAGAGCTGCCTCCAGCCGCCCGCCACAGTGTTATGTTTAATGGCCCTTGGCCGAGCAGCGAGCGGTGTTAACGCTTGTAAGAGATCAACAGAGCGAAGAGGAGAGGGCAAACACAGGGAGATTGCATGATAACGGCGTGCCTGGTGGGCTGGGTGCCGCTGTGGCGCGGCCCTGAAACCAAGCCCTCACCTCGGAGGTGGTGACCAGCGCCATGTCGACCAGTGCCACGTGGCCGTCTGTGATGACGTCACACGCCCGCTCGGCAAACTCGTCGCCGTCATCCAGGTGTGTGGGGATGCCCAGGGCGACAGAGAAGCCTGGTGGGTTGATGCGCGGATGCCAGGGTTGAAAAGCTGCTTAAATACGATTGAGAGGCGGGGGCAGTGGGGCCACTCTGGGTGCATCACGGCAGCGTGCGCAGCGAGAAAAAGGGCGCGAGGCCACCCTGGGTGCGAAAAACGTGCCGAATGTCTTCTAACGCACCGTTGGCAGTGCCACGGGGTACGATGCCCAGCGGGACGCCAGAGCCACGCAGCACACCGGCCACCGCCGCGATCGTGCCGTCGCCTCCACTGCGCGCGAGGGAGGGGGTGAAAGGGGCAGGGAGTGAAGTTGAATGCGTGGGGAGGGGGTGAGCATCCATGCAAGACTGCAAAACCAGCCTGGCGGGCACACTCACTTGCACATTAAATTTGTGCACGCACATGCCGGTCAACCGGGAGCCTATCATTCGAAGTAACAAAGCACTCAACCGTTAGCCCATCATTTGAAGTAACAAAGCATTCAACACTCGCGCACTTGCTGTGCCATGCTCAGCCCCCTCCAGTGACCATCTAAACAGCGCTCCAGCGAGCGCGACTGTATCTCGTCCGCCGGACCAACCGCTCCAACCGCACCTTGCCACCACGAGGTCGGCGCCCTGCTCCAGCGCGCGCTGCGCCAGCGCCTCGGCGTGCACGTCCGGCTGCGTCACCATTATGGTGAGCTGAGGGAACCGATTGCCAAGCCGCAAGGCGATGCGGCCGAGCATGTCGGTGGCGGCCTCCTGGCCGGCGACCGGGTTGAAGATCAGGACGGGCCGCTGCGGCTGCCTGTCCTGCGAAACCCCGTTTCCGTTCGCTGCAGCGGCGGGGCGCGGCATAACGCGGCCCATACCGGGCCTGCGGGGGCCTGCGGCCTTGCGTCCATGGGCCATGCGGGCAGGCGCCGCCAGCACAGCACGGGCAGCGATGGCAGCGCGCCTGCCGCAGCTTGCGAGGCAGCGAGACGAGTGTGAGAGCATTTGTGCTAGCGTTCTGGAGGACTATGACTCTAGCGTCGAATAGGGTGCGTGTTTGAACGGCGTGTCTAAGAACAAATCTGATCCAGCCTCGAAGACCGCCTAAACGACTCCACACACGTGTAAGATAATTATCATGGAAATGAATTACAGCCAGTCTTGTTTGACACGGATTACGCACGCATGTGTGAGTGGTTTGCCGCGTGGCCTGCGGCGTCACCCCGACTCGCGCTGAGGCCCAGCAGGTGCGGCTCATAGGTCTTGCAACAGTGATTCATACAGTGTTGCATGCATCCACAACCGAGGTTATCCTCCCTTCCCTCACATGATCAGCAGAGACGCACATCAGCAGCGGCTTGCAAGGACGGCCATGCTGAAGCAGGTGTCGGGCCCACAGGCCACATCCGGCAACCCCCGTTGACAAATGCTGGGGCGGCACCCCGACGACCCCCATCATACTTGCCCACATGCACACAGTGTTCTCAGAGTACTGGCGGAGCGGTATGGGCAGACCACTCCCTCGTGCACACTGCTGCGTGCCACTCGCTGAGTCAGGTGTCTGCAGTGCCAGCCATCCTCTGCAGACGTTGCTAGGGAAACAACAGCATGATCAGGACGGATTGGTTCGAGGACATGTATGCAAACTCTTGCCGAGTTCGTCGTCCCCCTCGGGCAGAATGGCTTGCTACAGCGTTGCCTCTTAGACAGCTCAATCATCCGCAGCGAGTGACAACACCACGCGGCAGGTTTCATTGGCCCTACCACAAGTTCCTGCCTGCTGTTGATGCCAGTTTAATGAAGAAGCCTAATCCAGCCAAATGGACAGTCATATAGATCTCAGGTTCACACGCAACTTACCTCAACACCATGGCCCTTTCTATTATGATGTAAATCCAGCACGCACATCTGACGCAACACACCTGACCCAGTCATCAGAGCACCCTGACAATGCTGGCTTGGCTTTTGTTTTTAATCACACCCGAGATTTGCAAAGCTTTCGCAACCCCACATGCTGTGTTCTTCCCATCGTTTGGATCAATACCGTACGAGTAACGGCGGTACACGAATGTCCAGCACTTGTGATGTTTGTCAAGGTTGCATCTACACACTACAGAATGCCGCCACAGGTCACGCTCCCTAACAGCTCACACCAGCTCCACAGTTGTCACCTGCAAATTCAGCTGGATCTGCTCTCCAAAATTCAATCGGGAAGGTGGTCGGGTGGTTGCGACATGAGCGGGTGCCGCTTGACTCGTCACTGACCAGCAGCTCAATGTGAGGGCCAGACACTAACAGCCCTCCAAGACTGGTTGCAGCGCGACCGAATGACAATTCAAGTGAAATCAGGTCCCTCCAAACACGGATCGCAAGGACGCAAAGAGCTTTCAAAGGACGCAAAGAGCTTTCAGAACCCGTTGATGTCGCTGGCGCGTATGTTGCAAGGTATTACTCTCCCGCGTGTTTTCAGCATATAATATCGGAGTCAGATCTACAGTGCGCCTCAGCCGCGGGCCGCGGGTCGCGCTCTGTGCACGGCCACCAGACTGATAGAGTGAAACTCAAAGTATTACGGAAACACTTACGGACAATAGGTGAAGATCCGGGCCGCTCGCGCGGTTGGCCAAACCGCGCAGCGGGTGCAGGGTGCGCGAGTGCCCCCACTACGCAGCTGCTTTGTTCAGTCCCAAGCTGAGGCAGTGAGTGTATAATATGTCCTCACTGTGCGCACCTTTTTCCAAACAGGATTACGCCTTGCCTTCCGCAATTGTGGACCAGCAGTGACTCTCTCCCCGTGCGGCTGTGAGGGGCGAGGGCTTTGGCTCATATGCCGCACCTGCCGCTGCCGCCGTGGGCCCACTATGACCACGGAGGCGACCCACGACTCGAGCGCGCCGGCCACAGCACCACAGCCGTCGACAAGCACATCTACCTCTGCGGTGGCCGGCGCGGGTGAGCAGCGCTCATTCCCAAACCGCGGGCGGCGGTTGCTCTGCGGTAGGGCGGCAGCCGCGCGGGTGACGTCCTTGTTTCATGCCCTGGAGTGATTAATCGCCTTGCTAAATGATTCATTTTTGGGCAAACACCTGAGGTGGGCTGCGCGTCCGGCGAGCAGCTGCCAGAGGCGCAGCTGGCGCGTGCCCGACCCCTTGGCGCTGACAAACCCGCACATTCGACCGCTCGAAAACCCCCAGCAAGAAGTTTTACCAGGACCTGCTGCGGTATGACACGGAGACGCACTGCTGGGAGACCGTCATGGACCACCTGCCCTTTGAGGCGGTAAGCTTCTGGGGCCGCTCGTGCGCACCAGGCGCAGCTGACGCCCGCGCCTCGCCGTGGCGCCTGGCGCCGCGACTTGCCCGCCTGTGCTGCCTGCACCCGACCCGCCCGCCTGGCTTGCCGTGCTTCGCATGTTTTCCCAGCGCGCCAACCACTCGGCGACTCTGATCGAGCGCGGGCTGAGCGGGGGGCGGGAGCTTTGGCTGATTGGGGGGCAGACCAATGATGACGTCATCGCTGAGGTCTGGGTGCTGGAGCTGGACTGCGGCTTCCTCTGGCGCCCGATTCATGTCAGGTGAGGGTGGGTGGTTGTGCACGCGGGCTGTGTGTGTGCCTGAGTTGCCCGCGTGCATGTGTGTGTGTGTTTTGCACAATGACACGCGCGGAACACAGATGCGTGTGTACCGTGTGCGCACGCGCGTTTGCGTGTGTATATACGCGCGTGTGTGCGTGCGTGTGCGCGCTGATGCGTGCGCAAGCGTGTGTGAGGTGCAATCTGTGTGATTCATCGCACACGGAAGTTCCAGCGGCGACCGCAACGCACGAGCAAATCCCGCGGCTCAGGGCGACGCAAGCCCCCACCTGGCGGGACGAAAGCCCCCGCCGCCGCCGCGGCGCCGCCGCGCCGCAGGGACGACGACGCGCTGCTGCTGCGGACGGCGCACACGGCAGAGGTCCACCCCTGCGATCCGACCAAGATCCTCATATTCGGTGGGCGCACCGCGCCACGCCGCGTTGAACACGGCCTGGTCCGCAGCTCAACTCAGTTCTGGCTAGGGGGTATTCGTACCCCAAGCAGGCAAAGCCTCACGGCTCGCCCGGCCGCCATCTGCGCGTGCTGCCTGGCCAGCCGCGGCCAGGAGCGCGCGTGCGGCACAGGCGATATGACGCACCCCTGCGCCACACCCAGAGCTTGCAGCCCTCCAAGCGTCCTGCGTCGGGGATTAACAACTTTCAACACGCCCTCGGCCGTCCCAGGCGGCTACGGCGGGCGCGCCGACGCGCCGGGCTTGTTCTCCTTCCTCTCCTCTCTCGCCGTCCTCGACACCACCACCGGCGTCGCGGCGCGCCTGACGCCTGCGGGCCGCGCGCCGTCTGAGCGGGCGTACCACTCTTGGGCGACCGTGGGGGCGGTGGGATACGTCTTTGGCGGGCGCCGGCACGATGGTGTCGTGTGTGACTCGGACCCCACGCTGCTGTGTGCGTACGACGCACTGCAGGTGGGCACGGGCGGCAGCGGCACACCGCAGCACCCGAGCGCAGCATGCAAAACGCCGGCGCCGGCGCCGCCGCGGGCCTCGGGACAGGGTTGGCGTGCGCGGCCGCGCGCCTGCCGGTTGGCCGGGGGCTGTTGGGGGAGCGCGGGAGCGCCGGCGCGGCCGCGTGCCGCAGAGCCCCTCCCCGCTGATCGCGCTCAGACGTCCACCCCTTTCCCCTGCGACCTGGGCGCGCCGCGCCGCGTTACATCTCATCATCCCTGGCCCCAAATCCTGCGCCGTTCCCTGACGCGGCTTCGACGGCGCCGCAGCACGCGTGGCTCCCTTTGGGCGCGGGCTGTGGCGTTCAAGGGGCCCCGCCCTGCGCGCGCAGCAGCCACCGCGCGGTCGCGATTGCGGGGCGCATGGTGCTGTTCGGGGGGACCGCCCAGGACTCGCCAGAGGAGCAGATGGCCGCTGTGCATAGGTGGGGCTGGTGGGGTTGGTGGTCGGCAGTGGGGTTGCTGGCCGGCAGTGGGGTTGGTGGTTGGTTGCATGCAGGCCACCTTCAGCGCCGCAAGAATGGCGCCCTGCCGACTTGCTTTTGCATCCCTGCGGCGCGCGCCGCGCCACGCGACCTTGGTGCCGTTTCGCACAACCTCCCCCCTTGACGCTGCGTCGGCCCCTCCGCGGCTGCCGTTCAGCCTGCTCATCACCCCCGGCGGCAACCTCGTGTGGTCGCGCTGCGACGACCCGGGCAGCAGCTGCGCCGTACGCCCCGCAGGTGCGGCGCGGCAGGCCGGGGCGCGGCGCAGACGGCGCCCAGCCAGCCGCGACGGGGGTTGTGCGCGCCCCTTGGAGCGCGCGCAAGCCGGGGCGCGGGCGTGCGTGGGTCGGGTGCCCTTTGGCCCGGCGGGGCCAGCCAGCGCGGCACGGCCGCAGGGAACGGAGCACACCCGTGCGGACGCAGGGACACATGCGCTCTCCTGCCGGCTATGCGCCCTCACACGCATACACAGACACAGACACACACACACACACTCACACAAACACACACGCGTCCCCCACTGCCGCCTCAAGGCCGCTCGGCGCACGGCATGGCCGCGGTCGGCGGCGGCGCCGTCGCGGTGGTGTGCGGCTTTGGGCGCACCCAAAAGCGCCAGCAGTACCACAAGGTGGGCCCCTGCTGTGGAGGTCTGACGCCAGCCTTTCAGGCGCACGCCG